TATCAATTTCTAAAAGAAAGTTTTTATAAGTTTGAATTTTTCCAATGTGTTTTGCGAGTGATTTGTGAATTAATATTCCTACACCACCCTGACGAGCATTGCTAGATGTCCAGAAACATTTATAATTTGTGAGTTTTTGTGAGAGAGTTAAAAATTTTGCCTCTTTGTTAGATAAATGAGTTTCAGAAATTTCAAAGATGTCTATTTGGTTTTCTGAGATATAATCAATTAAACTTAATTGTTTGAATGTATCTAGAAGGCCGTTAACATTAAGTGAGTGTATTTTAATTAATTTTATCGTATTAGAGTTATTTAAAGGTAGAATGTTGTTATTTGTATGTGCTGTAAGAATAGGTAGTTCAGTGTTAGAGGATGTAGTAGTTGAAAGAAGATTTTGACATTCTGAAAGTGATGATATATTGAATTTTGTTGAAAAAAAGTTAGTTTTGAGTACAATATTTTGATAGTTTAAAAGATTTTCAAAAGAGATAAGTGTAAAATTGGGTGAAGAGTTGGTTTCTTAAGGAAGGTAAATATGAGCTTCATGTGAGTTATTATTAGATGTTTTGATAGAAATTTTTATATATTGTTCTGAGTAGTATTCTGAGTGTTCATTTTGGATAAATTTTAAGAAAGAGCTGATTGATTGTAGTGAGGATAGGAGTTGTAAGTTGTAAAATGTGAGAAATTTATTAAAACAGATGGAGGGATTGTATAGTTTGAGTAAATCTGAGATTTCAGTATAAGTTTTTCCTTTAATAGTGTTGGTTGTTGGTGAGTCTATAGTATCATTAAAGTCTTCTGTTAATAATTCGTCATCATCAGTTTTAGTGTTTGATTTTGTTGGTGTATTTATAAAGATATTTGATATATAGAAGTTTTTTGGAGAAATTAAGTGTGAGTTTAGTGAAAAGGGGTTCTCAGAAGGATGTGATGGATTGTTATCTGAGAAGTTAGATTTTCCTTCTATAGATGTACTCGCCGTATACTTGGTTTTGACAGTTGCAGAGGATACCATAGCCTGCCCTATACGTTGGGTCTGACTGTCATTAGCTTGGTCCTTCGCGTAAGGTCTGTTAGTTAGTTTTTTTTTTTTATATATACTAATATACTTTTATTCTAATAATTTCTCCTCCATATCATCTCTAATGAGCAACAACCCTTCAGAATTTTCAGAATCAGTTCTAGAGTCAAAGAACATTTCTTCTTCAATGTTGGTATTCTATTAATATTTACTATGGCCCAGTTGAAAGTTATGAGCATAACCTGAGTCATATATTTTATGTTCACTGTCTTTGAATTCCAACTCATCATCAGTCAATTTTGGGAAATCAATAAGGTATTCCTTATTAATGTTCAGAAGGCCATCCTTGCTGATTTCACATTTCCCCTTATTCAGATGCCTGTTTTGGTAGACTCTGGTTCTTTCATCATAGAATTCACTATCTAACTAATCAATTAACTCTCTATACTGTTTTTGTTTTTCTAGGTATTCATTCAGTTCATCTTCATCTCAATAGTTTTCTTTGGTTACAGTGGTCCAACTTTTCCAGTCAGATTCCTCCTCAGATTCTTCAGATAAGTATTCTTCTGCTATAGCTTGAAACACTTCTGCCTCTTTACTATTTACTTTACTGATATTTTCCATATCAGCTGCTTTTTGGTTATAATGTTTTTTTTTGCAGCATTTTCTTTATTATTCTTGACAGTGCATCTGCATTATTATGGATTCTCGCTGCTCTGTGCATTATGGTAAAATTATAGGATTGAAGTCTTAGAATTCAGCAAGCCCTTCTTCTTTTTAATGCTGAATTTTGTAGCTATTTCAATACAAAATGATTGGTAATGAGGACAAAAGGTTTGTAGTCTAAATAATGATGAAAGTATTTTATAGCCCAGACTGCTGTATAACATTCCAATTCAGTGGCTGCGTAATTTCTCTTGGGACGGGTTAGGCTCTTACTAGTGTATGTAACAGTGTATTCTTTCTTATTTTCATCTCTTTGGACTAGTACTGTGCCAAGACCAACATCTGATGCATCAGTGTATAAATAAAAGGTCCTTTCAAAATTAGGGTATCTCAGAATTGACACTATGATAAGATGGGTTTTTGAAGTTTGAAATGCTTTTTCTTGGTCTGTTTTCTAATCAAACTTTACCTCCTTCTCTAATAGTTTATATAGGGGTTTCATAATAGTGCAAATCCTTTTATAAATCACCGATAATAGGAGGTGAGACTGATAAATCCTCGTAATTGTTACAGGTTAACTGAAGTAGAAAATTCTTTTACTTTAGCCAATTTGTTTTTGTCTGGCTTAATTCCTTCCTTGACTACTGTATGGCCTAAAAAATTAATATTATTTTTAAATAGATCACATTTTTCGGGATTTAATTTTAGCCCTGTTGCCCTTAATTTAACGAGCACTTTCATAATATGATCCATGTATTCTAGGTAAGTTGTTGAATATATAATTATATCGTCCAAATACACTGCAACATATCACCTGATGTCTTCATGTAGAATATGATTCATTGCCCTTTGGAAGGTTGTGGGCACATTGCACAACCCAAATGGCATCATATTGAAAGTATAAGTACCTTGTTTAGTTATAAACGTTGTTTTTTTGCAGTCTTCTTCTCTCATTCTTATTTGCCAGTATCCACTAACTAGATCTAAGCTAGAAAACCAACTAGCTTTTTCAAAAGTTTCTAACATATCATCAATACATAAAAGAGGGTAAGCATCTTTTTTAGTAATAGGGTTTAATTTTCTATAATCTACACACAACCTAAGTTTATCATTTTTTTTTGAAACTATAACTACAGATAATGTTCATAGGCTTTTAATTTCACTAATTAGTACATTTTTCAGTAGCTTATTAATCTTGTTATTCAAGAAGTCTTGTTTATCTGGTGATACCCTATAAGCAGTTTGTTTGATAGATTTAGCATTTCTCATATATATCTCATATTTCACTTCCTGATAATGACCCAATTGGTCTAGTCTAGTGGTGAACAATTTATCGAATTTGTTTAAAAGAGGTATTGCTTTTTCTTTTTGTTTATTGTTTAGCATCTTTGTTGGCACTAATTTTTCTATAATGTCTTTAGGAGACAAATAAGTCTCAATATTTTCATTTGTACCTGTTAGGACCTCCTCAACAGCAATTAGGTAGATGGCTGGGCTGTACTTATTTTCCTAGGGGTTACTATATAAGTTCTTATTATTAGCTAAGGCTTCATTCATGTGGTAACTTTCTACCTCTTCGACTTCTTCTTCTTCATATTGGTTAAAGAAATCACCTTCATCATTACTATAGGTCTCTTGAGGGTCTTCAGAGTAGTCCTCCTTGGCCTAAAATATAAGGATTTCTACGTTTCTACTTAGGTATCTTAAAAACTGTTTTCCTTCATCGAAATGGAGTCGGGTGTGAACTTTTTGAAACCAATCCATCTCCAAAAGCATTACCTCTTCTAGATTTTCGAGGACTTGAAAATTTGTAGGTATTATAACACTTTCAATTGCTAATTTTATATCTTAAATCTTTTTCAAGGCATGTTGTCAAGTACTATTAGCAACAGTAATGACCATATTGAATAGTTTGGTGATCTTAAGTCCCAACTTTGCTGCTAGTATTTTAGAGATAATACTTACAGCCACCCTAGAATCTAGAATGACTAGAATTGGGTTATTATATATCCTTATATAGCATTTCGCAACAGTTGACCTTTTACTAGTTTGATTATCCACAGAATTTAATTCTTCTGTTTTGGAAAGAAGGAGTCATCTTAATCATTAGCCAGAATCTGCCTTTGTCTTGGAATGCCTAGCAATTGATCATAAGTTGTGTTGGCATGCTGTCTCAGCATATCATCAGCAATGTTGTAAGGTGGAATTGAATCAACAACAGAGAGCTCTTATCTGTGTCTTGGCTGACCTGTATTTATTAATTGGGGCTGTACTGGGGCTTGTGTCTGTTCTTGAGAGACTATCTTCATAGGTGTAAGTTGAGCTTGATGGGTTCCTGGATCTTGTTCTTGAGCAACTCTTTTTCTTAATTTTTCATCCTAATGAGCTTTGGCTTCTGGTCTGTTGTGTCACTTTACAGCATATACATTTTCTCCTACTTTTGGGACATAAATATTATATAAATTAACATTTCTATGTGGTATGTTGCCATTAGGATCTACTGGGTGTCTTCTGGGGGCTTAAGATTGTTCAGACAGACAATTGTAAGCGATATGACCTCTTTTCCTACATCTATAACATTCAATCCTTACATTATTAGGTTGTCAGAGTAAGTTTAGTCTATTTGGTCTATTTTGATAATTCAGAGGATGAGTTTCTACTTTGGCTGCTAAGGTGGTAGTCAGTTTTTCATAGTTGATAGCCATCTGGTGCATTCTTTGAGTTAGGTCATTTAGAAGTTTGAAAGTAGGTTTATCTTCATTTTTTCTATTCTTATAGTAATTACTAGCCTCAACTTTCCTTATCACATTAATTGCTTTTTCTAATGTTCTAGAGTCATTGATGAACATTAGTGCCACTGTTTTTTTATGAAGATCTTCTAGAAACATTCTAACTATATAAATGTCAGGTAACTGTTAGTCAGGATCGACCTTTTTTAATAGTTTTTTGAATTTATATGTGTATTTATCAACTTTTTCGTTTTTCTTTAGAATTAGAGTATTTAACTTGATTTGTTACTGATGCTTGCATTTCAGGGTTGCAAAATACTTTGTGAATAATTGAACAAAACTGTTATCAGAATTATTCTTGTCATTCTAGAACAAGAGGTCTTCTTGGTTATCATTATACCAGCAGATTGCTATTTCTGACAAGTAACCAGATGCTATTTTGATCTTCTTCTTAGCAACTAATTATTTGCATCTGCAGCCCTTTCGAAGGCCTCAAACCATTCGATTAGATCTTCATTCTCTTCTCCTTTGAACATTTTCATATGGACCTAGTTACTTTTATGATTATTTGGGCAAACATCATATATTGTGACTTCTTTAAATGCTTGGGCTATTTCTTAAAGAAGTAAAGTGGTTTGATCTGAGTTATGGGGTTGTTCTATATAATCATCAAGACCATCTCTATTGAGGGTTTGATTATTTTCAAATTGGTTTATATCTGACATGTTTTATTGATACAATTAGGGTTAAAACCATGTGACTTAAATTTTACAGTAGCAGAAGATGTTGAAATAAATTTTTAGTTTAATCTCACAGTCATTACCAAATTGTAACAGTGTGGATTTGTATATAGTAGAAGACTCAAATGTCGGAGGTTGTTATTAAGCAAAAGCTAAGATTAGAAACACTAAATTTACTTGAATTTCTTTTCTATATCCTAACTGGTAGGCTTTAATTAAGGCATGGATTGACTTGGTCTGAGAATAGGATGTTTTCAAATACTGCAAGGGTTATGGACTTGTTCTAAAGCTATTAATTATATTTTGGTCTTGGGTTTATTACTAATTCTAACACTTTTATTACTATTATGATCTCTTGTTCAATAACTAATACTATTCACTAGAATAGTTTTCTATTTTTCAGATGTGTCTGAGTTTCAATCATCTTTTGAATTTGAAATTTTGGGGTCATGTGTCACAGGATTACGATTTGCGTTTAATTGCATAAGTTTATTAATAATTGGGTTAATCACAAACTTAATCAACTAATAGTTTTTATATAAAGAGGCTTGATTACTAATTTAATTTTTCTCTTTCTCTAGTGATAATGAATCACAGGGACAAGAAAATTTAATATCAAACGTAATAGTCACATTACAACTCAAGAGATACTCAACAGAATGAATACCACTATTCTTTTATTTATGAACTTGAAGGGGAGTTATCTTTATTTCGATTAAACTATTGGATCCTTATATATATTTTAGTTATTATAGAACTTTTACTAACACTTTTACTACTTCTACCCTATGTGCTATTACTGCCACAACTGTCATAGCTACCATAGCTGTTATATCTGATAGCTATAATAACTTTTTACTAAATTTGGTCCAGATCAACTCAAGTAACCTTGATGCCAGTATTGGATAATTTCCTCCTTACAACACGTATGAGTGTTGTTTAATACCCATGCCTGTTATTTCGTGAAAATACAGTAACTAATATAATATAAGAAATGAATAAATCTTAATACTCACTGGTTTTAATAAATTATTTACTAACTACATTCTATATATGCATTGAATTATTAATAGATCAAAAAACCTTTTTAATTATGCAAAGGCATAATATAGAATTAATCTGTATTAGCCTTAATAGACTGCCTTTTTTGTATTGAAATACAATATAAGTTAGACTTTAATAGCTTTTACTTATATAAAGATATAAAGTTTTCTTAATATATATAAGAAAAGTATACTTGTACTGACTCTAATTATAGATCTTTTTGGTTTTTAGTAAAATATCTAATCAATCTAAAAAAATACATACAGCAATTAGTAAAATCTTAAAAAAAAAAATTTGTATATATCATACAAAAAATCCTAATAAAATGCAAATACAAATTGCTGAATATTTTAATGCATAAGACCCAAATTGTAATCTCGAATGCTCAACTATTTCTAAAATTCTTAAAAAAAAAGATAAATGGATGGCTGTTGTTAAAAATCAAACAACTTCTAGTACTTTTAGACATAGGAAAGTAAACTTTCCATTGTTAGATCAAGCTATGAAGCTATAGGTTGAACAAATTATTAATAGCAAGTTATTTCTAACTGAAACAATTATTAAGGAAAAGGCTGCTTACTTTGTTAAAGCACTTTCACTATCTAAAAATAAAATTAAATTTTCTAACAGCTAGATAAGGCAATTTAAAAAAAGAAATAATTTACAAAATTTTCAATTACATGAAGAAGCAGATAGTGTATCAATAAATGATCTTCCAGAATTCAAATGCAATTTGCAAAATGTTATCCAAGAGTATGAATTAAACAATGTTTTTAATGCTAATGAAATAGAATTGTTTTTTCACATGACACCAAATCAAATATTGGCATCCAAATTCCATTCTGGATGGAAAAAGAAAAATAAATTTATTAATTAATATAAATACAAATAGTTGAATCTTAAATAATTCTTATATTATCATAATAGTTTGATCAAATTAATAATATTTATATTATGTTTAAATTAAAATCTTTTTATTAATTGTTAATCAATTTAGAATCATACTTGCATTACTATTCTTTTAGCAAGCAATGCAACTGGCAATAAAAAATTAAAGCCACTTATGATAGGATCTTTAATTAAACCACAAGCATTATCTGGCATAAATTATACTATACTGCCTGTTATATATTATGCTAATTTAAAAGCAGGAATGCAAAGTAAAATATTTTTAGAATAGTTAAAAGATTTTGAATGCCAATTCTAACTAGAAAATTGAAAGGTTTTACTTTTACTTGATAATGTAACAAGTTACTTTAATTCAAATTTAGAAGAAGAGTCTGATTTTGAAGAATCACATGAAAATGAAAGTGGTTATAGTTATAGTCATGGTCACAATCGAAGTTGTAGTCAAGATTGCAGTTGTGGTCACAGTCATGGTCACAATCGTAGCTGCAGTTATAATTCCAGTAATAATACTGTTCAAAATAACACACAAAGTAGTCAAAGTAAAAGCAAACATGGCTGAAGCTAAGCAAGTGTTTATATACTTTCTGATCTGTCTAATTACTAACTTACAAATATTAAAATTAAGTTTTTGTTTGCTTTTACTATCTCACATCTTCAACCTATAAATGCAGAAATAATTAAAAATGCTTTAAGTCAAAATATTAAAAAAAATATGTTCAACATATTCTAGATCAATTTGAAAGTAAAGTAAATATTCAGGATCCTAAGTAAGTATATTATATGTGGGCTAGATGCTGAAAAAAGAGACCAAATCAACTATTTTTTTAAAAAAAATTTTTGAACTTAATAAATACAGAATTAACTCAGAATTATTTAGTTGCTATATATAAAAATCAATTTTTTACAAAGCTTATTTTTTGTTAATTTGGCTTTTTTATATATAGTTTTATATAAATCTGCTTACTTTTACTAATAGTTATTTCACCAATTGCATATTTAGTTAACATTATACTAAAGTTATGCAAACAAATAAAATTGGTTTTCATAACTCAGCTGGGTTAACTTTTTTATAAAAATTTTTTTTTATATTAGCAGAGTCTAGATGTTAATTTACTAAAAATATATACTTGCAATCAGCTAACCCTAACTCTATATTATATTGACTAAATAAACTTTTAGCAAATTGGTAAAATGAGCAGTATCTGTATTATATAAGCTATATTGTTTATTTTTCTTTAAGAAATAAATTAAATATCAAAGAAGCCATCAATTATATGACAGCTTCCTGAGATGAAGTAAACAAGTTGACAATAGCAAATTGTTAGATGAAAACTAGTATTTTACCCTCAGTATCAAATATTAATGTTAATATTGCACAAAATATACATTTAGAATTAATTAAACATGAAAAAAGTGATATATATGAATTGATGGTTGATCTTAGTAATTTAGTGGTTTCATGAGAAATAGAAGCTTACAGAGATATTAATAATATGCATATTCCTATAAAAGAAGCACTTAATAATGCTCAGATTGTTGAAACTATATTAATGATGCAATTAGAAAATAAGCAAGGTAATTCAGATAATTTTGATAAAGAATTACCAAAGATTTCTGCTTCTGAAGAATTAGACAGATTAAAAAATTTTATCTTATTTGTTGAACAACAAATGTGTGATAATTTTTTTTTAATGACAATAACTTAAAAGTTTTCTGCAAATACTTATTATTAATAAAATGAAAGGTTGCAGAGTCTATGAAACAGAAGTTTATTATAGATTTTTTCAGATCAGCAAACCAAAGTATAATAATTAATAATAGATTTTTTCTTAATAATTTGGAGTTCTCTAATAATGATGATGGCATTCCTAATAATGATTATTTGTTTGGTAACAATGACTTTCTAATACTAATCATTTTTCAAGTGATAACAACTTCTTTGATGATGATTATTTTTCTGATGACAATTATTTTTCTGACTATGAAAGGTTTTCTGATAACTATTATAGTTCTCCTAATGATATTATAACTAACTAGGTTATTAAATTTCTGTCAAAAGATATGTAATTGTCATTTTTAAGTTCAAATAATTATTATAAATTACTATCTATTGGTTATACAGAGAATAAATACATACTTAAAATAAATTAAATATGCATGTTAAATATCACATATATATAGTAACTATAAAATATAGTTCATACTATAATAATATAACTGAAGTAAGATGCAATAAAATAACCTTTTGAATGTGAATGCTTTGTGTATCATATTTTGTTAAAGTTCTATATTTTATTTTAAGAAGTGATATTGTTATAGTTATAGTTATTAGGTGAAACCTTGGAGTTTCATGCTAGTAAAATGACAAAACCTTAGTTTTAACTTTTGCCAAAAATTTTAAGAACAAAACTGGTACAGTATAATGAAACTGGCGAAGTATAGTGAAGCTAATAAAACATGATTAAATTGGTAAAACATAATAAAACATAGCAAAACAGTGAAATATAGCAAAACAGAAAGAATAATTTATAACATTATGAACAACTGTAGCATTGCCCACAAAATATATAACTTACATTATAGTTAAAGCTGAAGAAGAAGCACAATAGCAATAAATTGCATATAGAAATGATAAATTATTTAAAAAACTTTATTGATTGATTCTATCTGCTTTCAAATATGTATTATCTGAAAATGTAATAACTAAATTTGGTATTAAAAACTATAAAGTGTTATTAAAACTTTAAACCTATAGTTTATACTCAAGCTATTTTTTTAATAGTTGGTTTTGTATAAACAAATAAATATATAATATAAATAACTAATCTATAAGATAGCTTTGTTTAGCTAGTTTCTTAAGGTTTAAAGGTTTTACTGAAATTCTGAGATTTTGTCAAGGTTTCAAGAGGTTTTGACTTTTATCTTTTTTTTTGGCTTAGGCTTTATCTTTTGCTATTTGGAAATAGGTTTCATCTAATATCATTAGTTACAATTATATTATTATGATTGGGTAGCTTTATAAGAACAGTAAATTTACTAAAATAAAAGAATTATCACTTTAATATGATATTTATCTAATGCAAAAGGAAACATGTAAAGGTTACTAGCAATTTATTAGCCTTGAGGCATATAAATATATCAATACTATTGATACAGTATTGCCTGTTTTACTGACAATCACTTTACATCTTATTTTACTAACATGTTTATTTTTCAGATAATTATTTTACCAACAAAGTAATTTTGGTAGAGTTAGATTTAGATTAAAGTTAAGGTTAGTGCAATTTTTAAAAAAACTTGTTGGTAAAATGAACTGATAGTAAAATAATTGTTGATGAAAATAAACATGTCAGTAAATTGATTATCAGTAAAACTAGGTGTCAGTAATCTAATTGTTGATGAAATAAACATAACCATTTTTGCTATAAAAGAACTCAGATAATGTTATAAATTTTGAATTTATTATTTATATACATCATCATTTATTTAAAATATGATTTTATAGAAGGATATTATATATAGATATATTTTTATCTATATTATATAATGTGATAGTGATTATATGTAATTTGTAATTATATAGAAGTATTTTTATATAAAATAAAATAGAGTCAAAATTTTATATGATTATATAAAATTAGTAATTATAGAGGAGGTGATTATAGAGAAAGAAAACTGTATATTAAATATATTATTTATTTATTTATTTATTTTTTTATTTATTTTTTTTTTTTCTTACTTATAAGCAGTCACACTAGTACTTTATTAGGTTTTTTTGGAATTACATTTGTAACTACATAAATTTCTCTAATATCTAAGTCTAGCATCACC